CAGGTACTCCAGTTTCCTCCCACAGACCAAAAACATGCATGTCAGGTCCAGTCCTTGCACAAAAGATTTTTGATCTCAATGGGATTTTCCCTGGTTAAATAACAGTTAATAAATAAATAATTAAATAAACAAAGTCAAAAGTATCCTGATCATTATTTTATCATAAAATTGCATAGATGAATACATTAACACAATGCATAATGTAAATTAGTTAGTTTACAGTCAACTTTACTGGCAAACAAATGCACACCGTGTGTTGTGCTGCTGATGTGGGAAAACTTTGATCTGTCAGCACACATAATATAATAAAACATTATCTGACAGCAGCTGACACATTTATTGTAAATAAATGCACAGTTAAACTACAAAAGCTTTCAAATAGTTTCAGTATCTAACTTTTTTAAAACTTTATATTATTTAAAGCACTTACAAGTTGAATGCACTATTTGTTTTGCATATTTTGTACTTTTTTGAAGTTATCATTAACCCTCTGTCTTTGCATAAATAAAATGGTTTATTGGTCTCTTCCACATCTATGCTTATTTCAGCACCCAAATAAGATTAGTTTAAAACACATAGTAATATTAAGAGTCTGAGGAGGCAGTTTTTTGGAAAGTTCAGTAACAAATAAGGCTGGACATGACAAAAACACCTTGGAGCTTTTACGTTGCGTCCTTGTCACTTACCCTTACAGCCCTCCACCAGCGTGCCAACATCTAGGGTAACCTAATTAGGACGAGTGCAAAGCAACATTCAACACTTATATTTGAGGGAGTGGTGGCACAGAGGTTAGAGAAGGTGGGCCTATGATCGAAAGATCGCTAGTTCAAGCCCCGGTGTGGTGAAGGCTGCACAGGTCTGTTGGAGTCAGTCTCCCCACCATCACAGACTTCTACACCTCTAGATGCAGGAAGAGGGCCTCCTGCATCATGAAGGACCCCACTCATCCAGCACACACACTTTTTGCCCTGCTCCCCTCAGGCAGGAGATTAAGGAGCATTAAGTTTAGAACCACTAGACTGAGGAACAGCTTCTGCCC